CCTTCCACAAGGAAAATTTGCTTACCGCAGTCCTGTAGCATAAATACATAGAATAGCACACGACATAACAAACAAGAATAACACACTTAATACAGCACATTTACCCCCGGTCCTGGTGCGAGGCACCCATCAGCTCACCAGCCTGCCCTTATTTTAAGAGCGCTATGGCAGAAGGTTACAAACTGCCGCCATAGCGGAGCAACGTTACACGTCCCTGTATCTGCGTCCCAGGATGGCAGCAGTACGAATAAAGAGTTGAGGGGGTGGCTGCGGGTCGTGTGCTATACTGTGCTGCCTCTGCGTGTAATGCGCTTTACTTGTTGAGCTTAAGTGATTTAGCGTGTTTCCCACTAATGCACTCACATTTACTTCATTTGTATCTGTTTAATGAACCCAGACTTTACCGGGGATTCTAGAGCTACAGAAATATTCATGCGTTGGCCAGGAGGCGTGCCCCAGACAATCACATCAATAATTTGCTTGGAAAACTTGAATTCAAAAACATTACTACTAATTGTGCACATTATAAAGCATTACATCGCAAATTCTAAAAGGCGTTAGTCCATTACATTGTTTATTTCCAATCTTCAGACCATTTTTCAAATACATGTTTTTTTTCAATAACTTAGCCCCATCAACCAAGGTCTAAAATAAAATGTCGACCTATAAACCGATCATTAAATGTATGTGTTTTTTTAATGGTGCGATTTTTAAATGAAGTTTAAAAGGAATGTGTAAAATTTTGACACAACCAACCAACCAGACCATCCTGCCAGCCCCCGGACAACTTCTAAACAACCTGCTAACCATTAGCTTAAACAAACAGATTTTCATCCTTAAACATTCCCTAAGTCTTAATTCAACCGGGTTAAAATAAATAAAGTAGAAAATAAATTTTCATCTTTCACTGGGCGTCTCAACCGTATAAAAGACACATTTACATTGGACAACATCTTAATTTAGGAAACGATCATAATTTGATCATTTAAGAGAGAGTTAGGAGGAAAAAAGGCAGATTCTCCATTACGATGCCAGCGGTGTGTTAAATAACGCGGGACGCCAGATGGCTGTGTTTTGGTTGGGGTGTGTGGTGTGTGTGTGTTGGTGTGTGGTGGGTCGTGTGTGTGTGTGTGTGTGGATCCATAGCAGACAGACCCTGTGCCTCCTGCAGTCTGGAGCTTCCTGTTGCTGCTAAAGGCGGCCTGGTTTGAATGAGGGGCTTAACGACGTCTCGCTGGGAAATGTTATCTGCTTCACACTCATATTAACATACAGCGACGTCCATTAAAGACTCTGAACGAATGTTAAACACGTATTAACATCCGTACTGCCACATTATAGCGACATTAAAGCTACCTAAACCAATAAAACGCGCTTGTTTACATTCTGCCCAGCTACTTACTCGCACACAAAAGCTCGCAAGCATGCTTCTGTTAAACGTTAGCGGTGCTCGGCCTTTCTGGACCGATGGGAAACGGGATGCAGTGAGTGTTGCACTTGCTAATAATATGGCCAAACACTTTATGGAGCTACAGTCCCAAACGTGCGCGAGGAGACTCCGCGGCTGCACGCGACCGCATCAATGCCTAGCGACAGCAAACCCCGCGAACGGTCCACACGAGCAATAACTGCACACATACAGCTTATGCAATGCAAATACACGGCCTCCTTCATAGGAACTAACGTTAGTAGCTAATGTAAGCTAATGGCTAGCTAACCTCTCACGCTGGCTAAAGTGTTAGCATGCTACATTGTATTGCTACAACTGTCCCGCACAGCAGCATTCTACCCCGGCGCCTGTTTGTAGGAAAATAAGCTGCTCGTCCATAAACATGTACCATTAAAACTCGATACCACACAACAAACCACAGTGAAAAATAACAAAATGACGAAAAACAAATGAAAATGGCGTTGGACAGGATAACCGCCATTCCTTAACGTTACCAGAGGTCTCGTCCGCTCCGTCATGATTTGAGTTCTCCTTCCTACTGACTTTCGCCGATGAGGCCGACATGGTTATCGTTTGCCGTGACACTTCTGACCAGATGTATATAACGGGTGGTTTCTAACTCTTCTCCGGAGGATAAAAGTTACTTCCACCTTACATAGGGTGCGTGTCTTCAAGCCCACGATAAGGAGGAATGAGCGCAGCTTCGCACGCTTGTTTCTCTGTGTGGCGCTCGGTCGGTCAACATATTTATGATGCTCCACTGCCCCGAGCTGGCCGGAGTGCGGTACTGCAACTTAAAGCTCTATATTCAGTACAACAAGTCAAATATGTTGGCGCCCAAACAGTGGTGGAACAAGTATTCAGATACTTATCAATACCACACTGGTAATACTCTATTATGAGTAAAATTCCTGCATTTATAATCACACTGAAGTAAAATCATCTAAATATTCTAAGCAAAACCTACCTAAAGTATCAAAAGTAAAAGTAGTCATTGTGCAGTACATTTTTCAGTGATTTACTATTAATAATATGATGTTTTTGGATCTATATTGCTGCATTAGTGTATGGCGCATTTTAATGCTGTAGATGTTCTACAGCTCATTTGAACTACTTTATACACTGTTTGGTAGTTTCATCTACAGCAATACATCATATTCTGTAAAATCATAATGTTTGCAGCATGGCTGTCCTCTGAGAATCATGTCCACCAACATAAACTTTTTTTTTTGTTTTTCAGCTTTGTGACAAGGCATTTTCCAGCTAATCAGAGATGGTTTTTAAGAAGTAGGAGAATTTTCTCAACCCACAAAGGAACACTTCAGTCTATAAGAAAAACATTCTAAAGCAATACATTTGAAGATACATGGTTTTCACTGAAAGGGTGTGAAAAACTATAATCTTTACATACTTAGTAGTAGTAGTAGTAGTAGTACAGTACTTAAGTATATATAATAACGTTACATTCCACCACTGTGCCCAAGTGAATGCATTACTTCACTTTGGCTCTCCATCCATAGCCAACTACTTTGAAAGCTGCAATAGGTAACTTTTATAAAGTAAAGTATTTGCTAATTTTTCACTATATCCTAACAGCAGTACATAAGACAGATAATCAGTTAACAAAAAGGGGTTCCTCTGGCTCCTCCAAGTGCTCCTATGGTATTTACAAGAATCCACCAGGCGTGAGCGGAAACAACCAATAGATGCTTGATGATAGTTGATTGCTGAGTCTCATTCCTAGGTCGTCAAATATCACTGCTGCAAATGAGACTCAACAATCAACTATCATCAAGCATCCACCCTAAAGTATCCTTCCATCTTTCTCGGCTCTGATTGGTTGTTTTCATTAGGGCCCTGTGGATTCTTGCACATTTTATTTCTTGGCTTCAGAGCCTACAAGCAAAATAAATTATTCAAAAGTCTTCTTCTTCTTTTATTCCATGCCATGCAGTCCCCCTCCAGTCAGAAATCAGTGTCTCTTCCTGTTCCTACAGTGTGCTGTTTGAATGCTGTATGTGCAGAGTGTGACAGTAGAAGGATGTTT